AAAGAGAAAAAGTCTAAAATCAATAATCTAAGTTCCTGGCTTGTTACTAGAAATAGAAGAGCAAAATAAACCTAAAACAAGCATAAGGCAGGCGATAATAAAGATAAAAGCTGAAATCAATGAAATTGAAAACAATAGTGAAAATCAATAAAACAAAAAGCTGATTCTTTGAAAAGACCAATAAAATTGACAATAAAACTGACAAAGAAAAAAAAGAAAGATGACACAGATTACCAATAACAGAAATGAAAAAAGGAAATATCACTACAAATCCTACAGACATCAGAAGGCTAATAAGAGAATACTATGAACCACTCTATACACATAAATTTGGTAGCATAATGAAATGGACCAATTCCTTGGAAAGCATAAACTACCACAACACACCCAATATGAAATAGGTAACTTGAACACCTTTTAAAGAAATTGAATTTGTAGCTTTAAAATTTTTGAAAAAGAGATCTCCAAGCCCACCCAGATGATTTCACTGAAGAATTTTATACCAAGCGCTTAAAGAATAATTAACATCAATTCTATACCACCTCTTCCAGAAAATATAATAGGAAGGAACATATCCAAACTCATTTTAGGAGAACAGTTACCACGATACCAAAATCAAGCAAAAATAGCACAAAAAAGCAAACTACAGACCATATTTCTCATGAATATAAATGCAAAACTCCTTAGAAATATATCAGCAAACAGAATTTTTAGCAATATATAAAAAGTAGTGGACTCTGTGGAAAACAGTTTGGTAGTTCCTAAAAAAGTTAAACATAAAATTACCATATGACCCAGCAATTCCATTCGTAGGTATATACCCAAAAGACTCAGATAGCTACTTGTACACCAAGTTTCACTGCAGCATTATTCACAATAGTCAAAAGATGAAAACAACCCAAGTGTCTATCAATAGATGAATACAACAACATGTGGTACATACATACAATGGAATATTATTCATGCATAAAGAGAAATGAAGTTCTGCTACATGCTACCACGTGAATAAATCTTGGAAACATGCTAAGTTAATAAGTCCAACACAAAAAGACAAATATTGTATGATACCATTTACATGAAATATCTAGAATAGGCAAATGCATAGATACAAAAGTTTATTAGTGGTTACCAGGGGTTGGGAGGAGGGGTAAATGAGGAGTTATTATTTAAAGGGTACTAAGGTTCTGTTAAGGGTGATGAAAAACTTTTGGAAATAGATAGTGGTGATGGTTGCACAACAGGGTGAATGTCATTGAATTGTACACTTAAAAATGGTTAAAATGACAAACTTTTTGTTATATATATTTTAACCACAGTAATTCTTTTAATATTATATACCATGACCAAGTGGCGTTTATTCCATGGATGTAAGCTGGTTCAATATTTGAAAATCAATCCATGTAATCCACCATATTAACAATCTAAAAATGAAAAATCACATGATTGTACTGATTGATGCAGGAAAATCATGTGAAAAAATTCAGCACCCATTAATGATTAAAAACTACTAGAAAACTGAGAATAAAGGGGAACTTCCTCTATTTGATTAAAAAAAAAACTCTACAACTAAAATCACACTCAATGACAAAAGGCTCATTGCTTTCCCCCTAAGATGAGGAACAAGGCAAGGACTTCTGCTCTCACCAGGGCTATTCAACATTAACACTGGAAGCTCTAGTCAGTGCAACAAAGCAAGAAAATAAAATAAAAGGCTTACAGATCAGAGCAGGAGAAATAAAAGTCTTTCTTTGCAGATGACATGATGGTCTACAGAAGAGAAATCCCAAGGAATCTACAAAAACACTTCCAGAACTAATAAGTGAGTTCAGCAACGTAGAATACAAGATCAACATACAAAAATCAATTGTATTTCTATAATTTATCAATGAACATGCAGAAACAAAAATTTTAAATACAACACCCTTTACAATAGCTTAAAAAATGAAATATTTGGGTAGCAAAGTATGTACAGGTACTGTATGCTAAAAACTACAAAATGCTAATGAAAGACATTTTTTAAATAAACGGGAAAATGTACTGTATTCATATATTGGAAGATCAACATAGTAAAGTTACCAGTTCTATCAAAATTTACTATCAAAATTACAGCAAGAATTTTGTAGATATAGTTATGAGTATTCTAAAATGCATATGGAAAGGCAAAGGAACTAGAATAGCTAAAACAGTCTTGAGAAAGAAGAATAAAGTTGGAGGAATCACTCTATCCTATGTTAACATCTACTACAGAGCTACAGTAATCAAGTCTGTGTGGTACTGATGGAGGGATAAACACAAACATCAATGGAATAGAATGGAGAATTCAAGAATAGATCCACACTAGTAAAACCAGCTGATTTTAACAAAGATGCATAATTCAGTGGAAGAAGGATAATCTTCTCAAATCATGCTGGAGCAATTAGATATCCATATGCAAAAAAAAAAAAAAATCCTGGACCCAAATCTGCCATCTTATACAAACGTTAATGAAAATGGATCATAGGTTTAAATGTAAACATAAAATCATAAAACTTTTAGAAGAAACATAGGAGGTAATCTTTGTAGCCTAGTACTTGTTGAAGAGTTTCAGACATGACACCAAAAGCAAGATCCATAAAAGAAAATAAATCAACAAATTGGACCTCATCAAAATTAAAATCTTTTGCTCTGTGAATGACCCTGCAAAGAAACTGAAAAGACAAACTACAAACTGGTAGAAAATATTTGCAAAATGACTTATCTGACGAAAACTTGTATCTAGAATATATAAATAATCCTTAAAACTCAACAGTGATAAAACAAACAATCCAACTAGAAAACAGGAAAAGGACATGAAGAGAAATTTCAAGGAAATGCAAATTAAAGCCAAAATGAGATAGATGCCACTTCACATCCACTAGGATGGCTATAATTAAAAAAGACAACAAGTGTTGACAAGAATGTGGAAAAACTGGAACCCTCATACAGCGCTTGTAGGAATGTAAAATGATGTAGTTGCTTAGGAAAACAGTTTCCAGTTCCTCAAAATGTTAAATATAGAGCCACCATATGACCCAGCAATTCCACTCCTAGATGTATACTCAAGAGAAATGAAAACATATGCCCATACAATAACTTGTACACAAGTGTTGATAGCAGCATTATTTATAATAGCCAAAAAGTGAAAACAACCCAAATGACCATCAAATGATGAATGGATATATAAAATGTGGTATATCTGTACGATGGAATATTATTCAGCCATAAAAAGGAATGAAGTACTGGCACATGCTACAACATCGATGAACCATGAAAAGTTATGCTAAGTAAAAGAAGTCAGCACAAAAGGCCACATATTGTATGATTCCATTTATATGAAATGTCCAGAATAGGCAAATCTATAGAGATAGAAAGTGGATTACTTGGTTATCTAGGCCTGGGAGGAGTATGAGCGTGTTGTGGGTAATAGCTAGAGAGTACAGAGTTTCTTTTTAGGGTGGTGAAAATGTCCTAAAATTGATTATGGTAATGGTTGCACAACTCTGTGAATATAATGAAAACAATAAAATTGTACACCTTAAATGGGTAAACTGTATGGTATGTGAATTATATTTCAATAACGCTATCATAAAAATAGCACAGTGGCTAATAAAATGTGTCAGTTATTTAAGAAAAAAATATTTGCTTGGAGAGTGGCAAGGAAAGACTCAGTGGAGCCAGTTAAAAAATTAGTACAATAATCCAGGCAGTTTGGACAGGGTGGTCCAGTGTTCTGGGACTTGACCAAGCACTTCTATATGATTATGGGCATAGCAATTCTTGAGCAACCATTACCACCACTTTTCAATTATGCAAATATCCTTAAGCACTTACTAATATATATGGACCTTGCTCTCTCACTTGCAGGGTAAATGAAAATGAATAAAATAAGTCATTCTCCTCAATCAGTCCTGTATTTGGAAAGATAAAACTCATAATGAAATAACTACAACACAAAGCACAACGTGGTAAATGCCCAAAAAAGGTGAATATACAACTGGTAAGGATTTCAGGGGACATATGCTGTTGAACACACTATTATTGCCAACACCATCACTTTTGTCATTATCACCCCCAGCATCAGCAAGAGACATTACTGAGTGTCTAAGTACATGAGCCACTGCTAGGTTCTATACAGAAAACTGGACAAAGTCACTGCCTTCCGTGAACCTATACAAATCTTAATGATGGAAATATTAAGGAAATTTATCTATCCATAAATACACCATACGCAAAAATGCAGTTTTTAGCATGAGGAACGATTCTGTCAGGGAGGAATCACCAATTTCCCTTTTAATTTGAAGGACGACCTCTCGAAATGGTTTTTGGATTTTGTCTTTTTTGGGTTTTTACGGGATGATGATGTTTTTACTGGGTGATCACGTTTTCCAAGCAATTGCGGCCTCCTTGTGGCCACATGAACTCATTACGCCAATTCACAACCTCACTTGGGAGCAAAAGACACAGGTCTCAGCCTGACATCCCCACAGCGCGACTGCATGACAAAGCTGAAGACTAGGCTAGTCTTCAGCCCATTTTAGTGTCCCTAAAACCAGGGGAATCCTTCGGGGGGGGGG